TCCAGGCAGTAGGCGTCCTCCTCCATGGACTGCTGCTGAGGCCCCATCATGTGTTCTCCATGCAGTTCAGATAGAGTGGGGAGGGTCAGCTCCAGTTTGATTCTTGTTCCAGTTTAAGTGCATAGTATTTCACTTGACTTTCAAGAGTCATTATGCTATACAAATACTAAAAGATGTGGTGAATGCTGTGAAACATTGAGATGGTCTTTTTAACTATAACATTAGAAATCATAAATAAAAGATAGCTCTGACAAGGTCAAAACAAAAACTCTACAATACCAACAATATCATAAATCAAACTGAAAGGCAAATGAATAGCTTGAAAATAGATGCAACATCTTTCATAACTTACTGATCACCTCCCTGTCCTGTATTTATAAGTACGCACTTCTACCAACAGCAATTCTGATCTCTCAGACCTTACCATGCATTATTATAAAGTGAAGTGCCTTGAATTTCATGATAGTACAGAGATAGCAGCTACCAGTTGGAATTCTAGTGATTAGGGATGAAACTAAAAGGATAATTAAGGAAGCAAATATGAAAAATAATCTCTTAATTTGGAAAACTGTTATGTCCTTTTTACTTTTTTTTTTTTTTTTGAGATTGAGTCTTGCTCTGTCATCCAGGCTGGAGTGCAGTGGTGTGATCTCGGCTCACTGCAACCTCTGCCTCTCAGGTTCAAGCTATTCTCCTGCCTCACCTCCAAGTAGCTGGGACTACAGGTGCTCACCACCAGGCCCAGCTAATTTTTGGCATTTCTTGTAGAGACAGGGTTTCACTATGTTGGTCAGGCTGGTCTCAAACGCCTGACCTCGTGATCCGACCGCCTCGGCTTCCCAAAGTGCTGGGATTAGAGGCTTGAGCCACCACACCCAGCCCTTTTTATCTTTTATACAAGTTGTGTATTTTCTTGTCTACCCTCCATATTTAGAAACTTAATTCCAACATCTGCTTCTCTCCCAAACCAAAACAAAACCTAGAAAAGTGAAAAATGTAATTTATAGTAAGAAGAAACACTTAGAATTTGGAAATAAAAAAGAGTTACCTGAGACATTTCAGCTAGGTATGTACGGCGTTCATTGCTGATCTTCTGGTAAGCCTATGTGAAGATACAAAAGTAAAGGGTCCAGCATATGAGAAGATTAGCAATACTAGCAAGACTAAGTTAAGGTGTATGTCTCTATAGTATAGGAAATAGTTTTGTAAGCATTTTGTGATAATTATAGAGTAGGTTTGTAGATAACATTAGAAATAATGGCAGTTTCAAAGGAATTGCTAAGTATATAGAGTAAAAACGAACCTTTGATTCTTGTTCCAGTTTAAGTGCATAGTATTTCACTTGACTTTCAAGAGTCCTCTTTTCTTTTTCTAGCTGTTTAAGTAATGTGTTTAAGGATTCCTGAAAATGTAAATAGTAAAATTTTATATGTATTCATGTTCTAAACAAAATAAGAAATGAGCATCAATGTATTCACTAGCAAATGCCTTGTATACCTAACATTCTGTGATTTCATAATTCTATGATGTGTACTTTTTTTTTTTTTTCTTTCCAGACAGAGTCTCACTCTGTCACCAGGCTGGAGTGCAATGGCGTGATCTTGGTCCACTGCAAACCTCTGCCTCCCCAGGTTCAAGGCAATTCCTCTGCCTTAGGCTCCCAACGGTAGCTGGGATCTACAGGCACCTGCCACCATGCCAGGCGTAACTTTTTGTATTTTCAGTAGAGACATGGTTTCACCATGTTGGCCAGGCCTGGTGCTCGAACGTCTTGACCTCAGCCTGGTCAGGCAGGTGATCCACCTGCCTCAGCCTCCCAAAGTGCTGGGATTACAGGCGTGAGCCACTGCACCAAGCTGATGTGTACTTTTTAAGTAATGGCAATAATCACAATATTTATTGAACCCTAACAATATGTCATGTGTTGTACTAAGTGCTTTTCTTTTTTTCATAGTAAGCTATCTTTATTTGAAAAACGGTATCGTACAAACCTAACACTATCTATCAAACTTCAATAAGGGCAATTTCAGCATCAACTAATGAATAGTAGCTCAACTAACAATAGACCAATCAAAAGCGCTTTCAGAGGAGCAGCACTGGCTGATGTTCTGCTGGGGCTGTGGGCATTCAGAACCCGGCTACAGGGAAAACAGAACCAAACCCGCTGGTGCTTTGGACCCAAGCCCTCACATCGTGACCTGCCTCCCTCCTGGGAGCCCTGGCACTTCCAGGTTCCTTTGGCACTTCCTGGCCCCTGTGGGGGCAGGAACTTGGCCTCACAGTCAGCTGGCTTCTGCCTGTTGTGGTCATTTTTTTTTTTTCCAGAGTGCCCAGAGTGCTCTCTCAGTGGACATGGCAGTCACCCAGCTTTCCTGAGGTGTTTTCTCATGGAAGAGGGTCTTGTTACGAAAACTGGAAGTGTCTTTCTTCAATTCTTGGGCCAGTTCTTGGAACAACTTGTAGCAGTGTGATATACGCAGTTCAAGTTTTCAGGTGCCTCGTGGAGTCTCTGGTCGGGGTCCAGGCAGTAGGCGTCCTCCTCCATGGACTGCTGCTGAGGCCCCATCATGTGTTCTCCATGCAGTTCAGATAGAGTGGGGAGGGTCAGCTCCAGCTTCAGGAACTCCCCCTCAGGCTGTGCCCTTGCACCCTGCAGAAAGGCCTGCTCCCTGGCGTGGTGGCTCACACCTGTAATCCCAGCACTTTGGGAGGCCGAGGCAGGTAGATCACTTGAGCTCAGAAGCTCGAGACCAGCCTGGCCAACATGGCGAAACCCCGTCTCTACTAAAAATACAAAAATTAGCTGGCATGGTGGCACATGCCTGTAATCCCAGCTACTCGGGAGGCTGAGGAAGGAGAATCACTTGAACCCAGGAGGCAGAGGTTGAAGTGAGCCAAGATCGTGCCACTGCATTCCAAGCTGGGTGGCAGAGCAAGACTCCATGAAAAAAATGGAAAGGCCTGCTTGCCGATCAGACTTTGGACTTGTCCTGTGAATTCTTTTCCTTCTTTGGATTTTTTCCCACAATTGCATTCTGCTTCTCCAACTACCCCTCAGGAAATAAGAAGGATGCACCTATGCTACCATTGTCATCCACAGTCTTCAGAGGAACTTGTGGCCGGGACGCTGGGGGACCCACTATGTCCTTCGCTGATCCCCATTCACTGCCAAGTCCCCGTCCTCCACGTAGTCTCTTACCACTCTTGAGCAGATACAGGGCGCTCAGCACGGTGTGGGCCAGGGAGGTCAGTTGTCTCACTCCAGTATTCATGGGCTGTTTCACTCTTGCCTTGGTCTGCTCCGGCCTTTCCTTCTTCTCCTTCTTTGCCTGCAAGTGTTGCTTACATCTTGCAATTTCTTGGCTGGGCAGTTGTGCAGGTTGCTGATGGTCAATGCTGTCATTCAGATCACCTGCAGTTTGTCCTTAAAGATCTCCAGCGTGCTGTGAAGTGTGAGGGATGTGATTTGCATCAGTCACTTGGGGAAGTTCAGGAGGCCTGTTTTTTCATGCTTTTCTCAGAAGCTCCCTGTTTTAGTTTGTTCTCATGCTGCTATGAAGAAATACCCGACACTGGGTAATTTATAAAGAAAAGAGGTTTAATTGACTCATGGTTCTGCATGGCTGGGGAGGCCTCAGGAAACTTACAATCATGGTGGAAGGCACCTCTTCACAAAACGGCAGGAGAGAGAATGAGACCAAGCAGGTGAAATGCCAGACACTTATAAAGCCATCAGATCTTGTAAGAACTCGCTATCATGAGAACAGCATGAGGGAAACAGTCCCCATAATCAATGACCTCCACCTGGTCTCGCCCTTGACATGTGGAATTATTACAATTCAAGATGAGATTTGGGTGGGAACACAGAGCCAAACCATATCATTCAGTCATGTCCTGAAGGGAAGCCCTGCTCATTTCATTTAGAATCCCTCAAGCAGAGGTTTTGGAGCAGTCAAGGACTGACCTCCAGCATGGGTGATACGAGGCCCCCACTGGCCTGGGGTGCTGACCACATCTTGGCCCTGGCCTTTCTGTGGACCTCACCCTGGTCTGAACCCCTCTGGGCCGTCTCTTCCCTTCTTCTCACTGCATGTCATCTCCTGATCATAAAGGCCACCACAGCAGCACATGTCCGATCACCCAGAGTGTCCATAGGTTCCCTGGCACTAGTCCTAGGCTGCACATCACTAATTACTACTGCCCACAGGTGGGCCAGCAGAAGCTGGGTGGGCATTGTGTGGCAGACAGAGGTGCTCTGTGGTTCCTGAGGGCTCTGCAGCTCTGCTTCCATTTGCCAGTGGCCTGTGGGCCAGAGCTTACCACTAGTGTTCTGTCTCTAACACAAACAAGGGCCTATCGACCAGGTAGACCACTCACTGAGCTGGAGGTAGGGGAGGCACCTGGTATTATAGAAAACTGTATTCTTGATTTTGCTGTACAAATAGAAAGTGACATTACTTATGCAATGCCTTGGAGGAGTGGAAAGAGCTCATGGCAACCCCTAGCTCAGGCCACTCCAGGCCCCATCTAGCCCTACAGCACAGCTACAAGGTCAAAGCAGGGCTATGTCATAGCCCTGTGTCCACACATAATCATCTCGGGGCAGTGTGGTGGCCACCCCTGGTGAGGCTCATTACCCTAATTTCAAGTTTCCTTCTGCTTCAGGGAAGCCTGGTCCTGCCTACAAAGAGTCTGTCTACCAGCTGGGCATGGTGGCTCATGCCTGTAATTCCAGCACTTTGGGAGGCTGAGGCAGGCAGATCACAAGGTCAAGAGATCGAGACCATCCTGGTCAACATGATGAAACCTCGTCTCTACTAAAAATACAAAAATAAGCTGGGCGTGGTGGCGCACACCTGTAGTCCCAGCTACTTGAGAGGCTAAGGCAGGTGAATCACTTGAACCTGGGAGGTGGGGGTTGCAGTGAGTCAAGATGGCACCACTGTACTCCACCCTGGCAACAGAGCAAGACTCCATCTAAAAAATAAAAAATAAAAAAAAGAAAAACAATCTTTCTACCTTACTAGATGGAGCTCTTTGTAAAAGGGACTATGTTTTCTTCATCTCCATATCCCCAGTAGCTAGCCAGTGCCCAGTATACACTAAGGCTCAGTCAACGGCTTATTTTCTTATCTACTCTGACTTAGGACTTGTCACTTCCCCTCTTGACCTCCATATTCAGACCTGTGAATGAGTAAGTGGGCAAAGGTCCCTCTAGCTTTAAAACCCCTCCAATATAGAGAGAACTCAGAAACCAGAACCAGAAGCTGAGGAACGGCGAATGGAGCATTTTCCCTGGTGTGATGGATGAGACTGTAGATTTGGTTACTAGGGTGATTTTTTTGCCACTTGAAAGTCCCTGCAGAATGTGACCCTAGTTTTCAAATCAGACTCTAGAATGATCTTCAGTGTTGGTGGTTTTGCTTTTGTTTTGAGACTGTTATTGACACAGCAGCTTCTGGAAATCTTTTTCATGGAGAGTATGGGGGCTTCTTTGGCCAAACTGGGTGGGTGCAGGCTCCATCAGCTCGGCAGCTGCTGTCTGGGCCACAGCCTGTCTGCTGAGTCCTGCTCCCCTACAGAGGTTTTTGTCAGAGGCATCTGAACAAGAGCAACTCCATCTTGAATACAGGCTGGGTAAAATAAGGCTGAGACCTACTGGGCTGCATTCCCAGGAGGTTAGACATTCTTAGTCACAGAATGAAATAGGCTGACACAAGGTACAGGTCACAAAGACTTCGTCAATAAAAGGATGCAGTAAAGAAATGGGGCAAAACCCACCAAAACTTGAGATGGCAACAAAAGTAACCTCTGGTTATCCTCACTGCTCATTATATGCTAATTATAATGTATTAGCATACTAAAAGACACTTCTATCAGCACCATGACAGTTTATAAATGCCATGGTAACATCAGGAAATTACCTGTATAGTCTTAAAACGGAAGGAACCCTCATTTCCAGGAATTGCCCACCCCTTTCCCGGAAAACTCATGAATAATCCACTTCTTTAGCATATAATCAAGAAATAAGCAAAAAAAAAAAAAAAAATAGCCAGTCAGCACCCCTGGGGGCTGCTCTGCTGATGGAGTCGCCATTCTTTTATTCCTTTATTTTCTTAATAAACTTGCTTTCACTTTATACTATGGATTTGCCTCTAATTCTTTCTTGTGCAAGATCCAAGAACCTTCTCTTGGAATCTGGATCGGGATTCCTTTCCGTTAAGTTTCTCCAGACATTACAGTGTGACTGGCCATGTCATCTGTCACAGGTGTGAAAACAATCAAAACCAAGAGCCTGAAGCTGCCGGATGAGTGCCTACCGAGGAATCCTGCTCCCTGCAGGCACATCTAAAATGTGTTCCTGTGCTCGGGCCCTGCTCTTTACAAGAAGGCAGGCTCCAG